ACTACCAAAGACTCCCAAACCGACAAGACGGCATGAGGTTGATTGTTATCGCTATGGAACCCTTACCTTAAATGGTGTTTCTATAATAGCTATCCTGGAATAAACTACCGAGACACAATATACCAATATGAGTATGTCTGTTTATGTCTGTAAGATGAAAACTACTTGTACTGAAAAACTTGTCATTTCGCAATATATACAACTCACAGCTGCACAGTACAATAAGTTAGAATGGAGGTTGATATGACTCTGGTGGTATCCACTCATTCTTCAGTCACTGTATTTCCCCCCGACACACACTCAGACATACATTAAGTAATGCAGTTTATAAAAAGAACAACTGCAGTGTGGTGCTTCATGTGTTTTGTGGGCATGCAAATGTCTTGGTTTGAGTGTTCATGAGTGTGAATTTGCATATTCAGTGACTCTTTCTAGAGGTTATATTTTTACACCAGTAGGTGGCGACAATATACGAGCTGACATTATGGAGTATGGTTCTTTTTTTCTGAATATCAGCATGATTGATATCAGCAATGTCATATTGAATTTACAAAACAGCTAAGTAAACAAGTTAACATTTTGAGCTACATTTTACAGTTTTTGCCAATTACAATTTCCAAATGAAAACACTGCATACACTGAATACATACACTGCTAACTGTTTTGCGTGTCTGAGCAATACAGTGGTGCTTTATAATTGAATGAATCAGTTTAATGAATGATTCAATGTCCGAATGAATCAGCCATTTGAACGAATCGCTTGAATGAATGGCTCAATGACTCATTAAGACTTGCCGCCACCTACTGGCATTTTTAGTTTCATATTTAAAGTGTCTCATTTTTTTATTTGTCCATTACAGGACAAACCAGTCGGCAACAGCATAAAAATACTCTCTGAAAAATATTGTCTATTTGCCATTATTGACAAAGTCTCAGGGGGGAAAAAATCAAGCTATTTTTTGTTGGCTTAAAACTGGCAATATTGTGTCTAGACATAAGTTACTCAATATTAACTTATTGTTTACTGTTGGCAATATTACACAATGATGCTTGTCTTCTTGTTCTCCAGAAATTTATCAGAAACAACCTAAGCTGTCCTTGCTAGCTCTTTAACATGCTGTTTTTGAATTAACATGATTAAGTAGATCAGATCACCAATCAGAACAGCAAGTTTACATCTATCCAATTTGCTTCTGTATACTTTTTAAGTTAAAATGACACTTTGTGCAGTTACTGTATATACATATCTTTCAGTTCTGCTTAAATTAAAATTTGTTGCATCCTGCATGTTACTGCACTTCAAATTAATTAAAAATGTAGGAGCTGAACTGGAAACTAAAATGACCATGAGAGCATGAATGAAAAAATATATATATATATATTAGGTTTTAGATTTAGATTTGAATTAAAGTTTATTATTAATAGACATGAGCATGGTGCAGATGTTATGGAATGTCAATATCACATTTACCTTTAAATGTGTGATCTTTAGTTATTATCTTCTCATCTGCCATTTGGAAGTCTGCAAACACAGGTAGATGGGAACACCTTGGCAATGAACTTTGTTCTTCCGGTATAACTTTCTCTCTGCATCCACTTTCTGTTTGGGGGGAACTAGGTTGGTCAATGAAGCTCTGGGCTGTTTGTGCTTCTATCTTTGGGGATGTTTTAGCTGAGACTCTTGGATGTTCTTTTTGATTTAGTTTTTTTGCCCTCTGTGATTTGCCACCATGCAATTGGGTGTTTGGTTTTCCTTTTAAGACAGTTGCTTTATAGGAGCCACTTTTACTGATGGGGGCTTGCTGTGGTGGCCTGTCCACCCGCGGTGAGGCAGGAGGTGGAAGTGGAGGAAAGTCTTCGTCTGAGGGCCCCTCAGGGATGTCTGCTTTTCCTGTAGCCTGTTTAGGTAGAATTTCCTCAGTTTTATCTCTGTCAGCCTCCTCCTGGCTTATGATCTCTATGGTCTTGTCAGGTTCATGACCATGTCTGCATCTATCATCAGGAAAACATGGACACGTGGCATCAACATGCCCCTGCAGAAGAGTCTGGGTCATGTTATGCTGAGTCATTAACATGACCTTGTCCAACTTTTGATGCCCTGCACTCCTGAAAAAGAAGAAGCATGCATTATTTCAAACTGCAAGTGCATTGTGAATGCAAGTTATACTGTTGCGAAAATATTCACAGGCCAAAATAGATACTAGTGGAGATGCATGCATTGAAAGCAGAAAAAGTACCGAATAGTTTCATGTAAAAAGGTAAACAAGCCCTCCATTAACCAAACATGAACTTTCAGAGAATTTTCTTTGCATGTTACTGCTGTAAATGGGGCATAGTTTGTCTCCAAGTATGAATATTTCATGATTTTCTTATTGCTACCGTGCAATGGGGTTCAAACGAACACCAGGAGGAGATCTTCCCATTGCTACATGGTCTACCTAAAATAGATGGGGTAGGTGTTTCCATGGACCACCGGGGACAGATGGCAGATCTATTAGCATGGGCTGCCATGGCCAGATTTTGCATACGGTAATTTACACAATAGAGAAGCACTCTCTGACTTTCTTCGTTGGTTAAACTTTGCCCATCTTCAGTCCAATTTAAGGCTGACTTAAAGTGCGTTTACAAAGATGCTGCTGCTTTATTTAAAAGTACAATCTAAGCAGCATTAAACTTTGTTGTAAATAAATGATTAACTAAATGAAGAGTTTATTTGCAAAAACAGATAACTGTTTTTTTTTTTCAAAAATCTTTTTTTTTTTATGTTATCATGTTTTTATTGTGTTTTATTGTGTTAGTTAGCTGTATTATTTTAGTTATTTTTTACTTAATCAAAATAACCCAAATGCAGTTTGATTGAGATTAATTGGAATGCACAATGAAAAAAATATATATTTTTTTTTATTGTTTAAACTAAGTTATCGGTTTTTGCAAATAAACTCTTCAAATGTAGTCAGTAAATGTGAATGTGTACATTTATAAGAATCTAGAAATATAGAAATATGTATGTGTATATATCTAAATATGAATCTGTTTATATTTTATTATTTTCATTCCAATTTAGTTTCTATTATATGAATGTTTTCATATTATTATATCATATTATTCATATGAAAAATGTTCTCATAACATTTATTTCTGTAAATGTCAATAATACATTTTGTATTACATGATATTATACACTGTATATTCTATCGTAATAACAGTGTTTACACAAAAGAAAGCAGTGTTTACACAGAAGAAAGGCAGCATCAGAGCCTCCTCATAGCTGGCATATTTTAGTGAAGATTTAATGCTGCATTGTGTATTTTCACTGAATCCGACACAGTCTGGTCAGACTCTTTTATTTGTCACATACACACTACACCACAAAAATAAAAACCCATATATTCTGTCGTAACTTACTGAGTGTATAGACTGCCATAATGTCCTCTGTTGCTCTGGATATCACCGTCTTCCGCAAACACATGCGCATTTTCTGGTAAATGCGGCCAAACTCCCTTACTGGCCAGAACAGAGCGCTTCAATACTCTACCACAGGCTCTGTCCAGACTGTCTTCTGGTGTACAGGGATGAATCCACACTGACCTGGGAAATGGTCCTAATGCGTCCCAAAAACGCTGAGGTTTTGTTCTAGATGTCTTATCACTCGGTCTTGTAGACATTTTACATTTATCTCTAGACAAAAATGATAATTTAGCTTTCTCTTATCGTGATTTTCTTGTTTGTGGCTGGCGTCTGCCTTCCTTGGAATGTTTAGATTGAATATTGTATTGAATTTCAAATATAAACAAAAACAATTACGCAAACAGCTACAAATCATTTACGTCACTTGAATGGATGTACTGTAGGAGTCTTCGCGGGAAGAACTTTTTTTTTTTACTTGAAATAAAGTAAACGTTGACTGAAATATATCGAATATAAAACTTTTTTGTTATAGCTACAACATTTCTTATTTTAATTTAGTTAAACTTGATTTACTAAAATTAAAAATTACGTAAACTTTTACATTTAGCTATATTGAGAGAGAGAGAGAGAGAGAGAGAGAGATGCTACAAAATTGCCAAAATTTTGGTAGCCTAAGACTAAAGTAAAAATGGTAAGTAAATAAATAAATACATACATAAATAGACACTTTATGGGTCCTAACTAGGCTACACACCGAGTGATGTTCATGATATTTCACCTATGGTGATATTTCACATTATGTTTGTTGCTCAGTAAATTCTGTTTCTTTCATTGCGTATTAAGCAATACGTTTGTCTTTCAATTTTATAGGTCTGTTATTATATTATATTATATTATATTATATTATATTATATTATATTATATTATATTCTTTCAATTTTATAGGTCTGTTATTATATTATATTATATTATATTATATTATATTATATTATGCATTCAATCAAATCAAGTGAAAAGCAAATTAAATAGGCTATAATATTATTCTGCATAGACACAGTCATAGACTTGAGTGTTTATGTTGTTGGCACACCTTTGCAAAGGTGAGAGTGATGGAGCGAGCGAGCGAGCGAGCGAGAGAGAGAGAGAGAGAGAGATGCTGTGAGCTCGTACTGCAGTCGCGCTCTTCATTTCATTTGCTTAAGTCTTGAAACAGTGAGCCCGGAGGTGGAAATCCCTTAACGATTATTTTCACGCCTGGAAATGATTTAGACAGTGATGAAGGCTGTAAACTTCCACGAGTGGGCGGTGACAGCGAGTGTATCCAAGCGCTCCTTTACCAGTGACTCATTGGGAGAAAGATAGAAACGTGGATTTTCAGCGTTGTATTAATTGGAAAATAAACTTAAACGCGCGCGTAGTGGAGTGTACGGGCGTATGCCGCATCATCCGTTTGATTCGCTTTCCAGACTTTATCCGTCGTTCTCGTGGGCTTGAAGACACCAGATACAGTTCACATTATCAGCTCTTCAGGTTTTAGTAGAGAACGCGTCTATTAGAATCCGCTCACCCCGCGGCTCGCTTGAGATGGTTCAGTCCAGCTGCGAGGGTCCAGTCTCCATGCACTGGGATTTTTCTCAGCGCCGACACATAGTGAATCTTCCTTTTAAAACCATCTGATAACCGTGCCTGCCAAAAAAAAAAAGCCCACCATGAGCGCCTCTTTGAATCCTGACAGGACGGGACTCGTGAGGACAGAGTGCAGATGTACATATAACGGGACGAGGAAACTGGATGGTATAAGGATTTTTGCGCTAATGAAGGTGGGAGTACAGGCGCATCACTGGAGCGGGGTGCTGTTCTTCTATATGGGGCTGCTGGCTGCATCGGTTAAGGGTGAGTTTCCCGTTATGCTGCATGTGGTCCTGTTGCCGTGCGCGCAAGCCTCTTGGAGGCTACATATGCGACCCTTTTACCCCTGACATGTGGATGGAGTGCTGCCATTGTCAATTCTGTGCCAACACTATGGCATTTAATGTTGGGTCATGCGTTTCATTGATTCGGATCTACCAGGTATCAATGGATATAGGCAGCAGACTCACTAGAGAAACATACCAGTCAATAACATGAAGAGGTTGTACATACAGCCAAGAGTGCCATTTATTTGTGCGTGAATGTATTTCAATGTAAAACAGCCTTGTGTACTTTCCATAGTGCATTTGGTGTTATTTCTTGCCAACCTTGGTCTGCCCCATGTTGGCATAATATGTTGCATTATGCTTTGAATAACACCTCAGAGCAAGATGTTGGATTTTTGGTGGGTGCGCAAGAAGTGGTACCTTAGTTTTAAGGCAAAATGGGTTAATGGATAAAGATGTAGACGAACAATTTCTGAAAATATATAAATGTGTGTGTGGCGCAAGATTTCGTGAGTGTGGGAGCCAAGAGTGAATGAGTGAGTTTGGGAGGAAGTGGGGCGTATGTGGAGGCTGGAGAGAGAGGGGTTTCATGCCAAAAAAAACAGGTCTTTGACTCTGCGCTATTTTCAACATTCATTTTTACCATAATAGGGTATTCTTCCTCCGTCTAAAATATGTCCATTCCATCGTCCAAGTCATTAGCTATCCTAGGAATCATTTGCCTATTTGTTGCGTTTCTTTTTGCGAAATTTTGGCATTCCCAACCAACTATCCATCCGTCATTTACCTTGAAGGGAAGTTGTAGTCAGAGTGCTGATTGGTTTTAAGCCCAAATTTAGCTAAAAACAAGTGTCATGATATACACTGAAATGATTTATAGTTTCCCTTTTAACACCGTGACTGTCGTTATAAAATCTCATTTTCTGTTCCACGTAAGCGAAAAATTAACTCAAAAATAACTCAAATGCCATGTCTAAATTATGCCAGATAATTTTATATATTATTTTTGATTGAACTATCCCTTTAATTCAGCAGCATATTGAACACTCTCGCGCTACTGCGATTCAAGCCTTGTTTTCCTCAGAGTTGATGTTACTTAGGACATGGTGATCAAAGTAGTAAACGAATCCAGAAAGCCGGTCGACATTTTATGTGTTTAACGGTGTCGAATAAGTAATATCAATAGCAGAATGTTCTGCGTTTTTGACCGAGTCCGGAAAGCGCTCGCGAAGCCGTCGAGCAGTTTCCCTGTTTTTCCATTGAGCGGCACTAAAGCTTCAGAATAGGCAGTGGAGTCTCTCGTGCTTCATTAATAAACCGAGTATATCTTGGAAGCCTTTTAGAGTTTTCGTGTTAGCGCATAAGCTATGACTGGTGAAATAAAACGGGCCTTTTTTTTAGCTGGAAGGAAATGCAAATTTAATGCCTCTTCAGCTACTGGGGCATAGCTGAACTCAGCATGTAAGCTGTATGGTCACTGCATACTGACAAACTGCTGATTGAAAACAGGGCATATACATTAAATTGCATGAAATGTTCTTAAAAATGTAAACAGTTTTAACCGGAAAAAGAACAATGCGACCCGTTTTTGGTTAACTCTAAAGTTACCTTACCGTATAGTAGGTACAAATGACAATATTTCTGGGAATATTCATGTAATTTTACTGTAAAATAGAATATATTTATATAGATGTATAATACATTTAGTATTTATATATAAATGTTAAATATGAATTAAAATATTGTGAATCCAATGTTTTTGTGGTAAAAAAAAAAGTATAAATAATAATAATAATAATAATAATAATACGTTGAATTTATATAGCTCCTTTCCCAAGCTCAAGGACGCTGCACAATGACAAAAGCAAATAAACAATCATGTCATACATAGATGGACATGATATATAAATCACCTTATAGCCTTAATCATCACATTAATTTAGGTTTTATTTAAAGAATTACGTTTATTATGAACATTATTCTAATGCAGTTCAGTTAATGTTTATGTGTTATGCAGCCTAAATTTCTGACTGTCCCAGATGGCAGTTAGATTTTCTTAGATTTTTTTTTTTTTTTTACAGTGACCTTGTAGTCTTCATATTGTCAAAAGAAAAATACTTGAATAATAATAATAATAAATAAATAAATAATAAAAAAAGAATCCCATTATTCTGTGATTTGGGTAATCATGTGCTCTTGCTCAGCCTCAGAAGTTGCTGCTCTGGAGACATTTAAGTGCTCAAGATGAAACGATTTTTCATATTTTACCCAAACAATATCACTAACATCTCATCATCATGGATGTTTGGCTCAGTCCTATTTTCCTCACCCCAAAATCTTTGATAGTCAATGACACTTGACTTCATAAAATGGTCAAAGTCACGAAACCGATGCATTTCCATGATGCAACTTGGTGTAAGGCTCTATTGAACATGAGAATTTGTAAGCATGCAGAGAAATCGTTTCATCATGTCGGAGGGAGCTTGCCACATGTATTCAGTTTTGGCCAGTCCCTTTGGTTGTTTGAATATACAAAATTTCGTAACTTTTGAGATTACGCTAGGGAGGACATTTCAAGCTCCCTTGTGCACTCTTGTTTTGAAACAATCTTCTCTTTTTTTAGCTGTGCTTTTTTCAAGCTATGGTCCAGTGCTATGTAAGCACAATACATTTGTCAGCTGAGTAGTAACAGGTGTTTAAAGGAGACTTGAAGGAATCGCTCAGAGCAGATTGTGGGTAGTAGAGTTCAGTGACACTTCTACGGTGGCCGAGAAGTACAAAGCAAATCACAATTCTGAAAACAAAATAACAAATTACAAACGCAAAAGCAAGTCTAAAAAACAAAATAACAATTCAGAAAGCACAACAACAATTCAGAAAACATTATAACAAGTCAGAAAACACAATGACAAATTCGAAAACAAAATAACAAGTCAGAAAGCACAATGACAAATCCGAAAACAAATTAACAATTCAGAAAACACAACGACAAATCAGACAAACCGGAAGAGGTAGGTATAGTTTGAGACAGCGCCATTGGTTTGGGATTACTCACCGCTGACTGGACGAGACATCTGTCAATCAAAAAATACGGAGTGTCTATTTACATTTAGTTAAAAGTGGCTGTAAATTGTTAGCACCAATGGCGCAGATGGATAAGTGCTTGTCGTTGGTATTTTGACGTGATCGACCAGGGTTCGATCCCGCCTTTTGCCGAACTTTTTTTCCTCCCTTTTCAAATCACGTTTCACATCGTAAAGGGTTCGGCAAAAGGTGGGATCGAACCCGGGTCGATCGCGTCAAAAAGCCAACGACACGCATTTATCCATCTGCACCACTGGAGCTAATGTTTTACAGTCACTTTTAACTAAATGTAAATAGATACCCCATATTTTTTATTCCATAGTAAGATTGTTTTCAGAATTGTGATTTGCTTTGCACTTCACGGCCACCGTACACTTCAGAACCATGGACAACTCCCCTCCAGATCTTCTCATTGCATCTTTTCCACTGGTTGCCTTTACAAACGACTCAAAATCTGCCTTAGCAAACAAAGGCCTTTTAGACATATTTTGTGCTGAGAGAACAAAGTAACACTAAATGTTTAGTCTGAATGTAGCCATCAGCCTGATTTGACTCTTAGAGTTGCAATCCCCAGCTGCATTCCAATTAGGACCATGGACAGCTCCCACCAGAGCATTTAGCACGGCTGTACAGCACTGCACAGCACAAGCTGGTTTTCTCAAAAGGGGACAACACTTACACTCAAATGGTGTTATGTGTCATAGAAAACTCCACTAATTTTCTGTCACTTTCATACTTGCTAACCTTTATTTTTCTCACGTCATTGCTTATTCATCTCTTCCTTCCTCTCCATTCTCTTTTTATAGCACACATAATAACCTGTTCCAAGAAAATTAACACCTGCCAATCTGTTTGCTTAGACTTTAAAAGTAAAGACTACTAAACAGGTCTGTTGTTTGCATGCAGCTCCCAAAGGACTGAAGGATGCCTTTGGCAAGGAGTGAGATGATTTGTTTACACCGCTACCTGTACATCAATAGTGCACCAAAAGTTTCCCTCCTTTGAATGCACTGTGGTTAACATCAGACACTTATTTAGCACATTAAAATAAGTGGCTAAGATGAGTGTGACTTCATGGTCATCATATTAAAAGGATATTTCTGTATTAATAACTCTGTAATTTACTTGCCCTCATGTTGTCGGCTTACTAGCTTACTTTGTTCTGCAGAACACAAAAATGTGTTTTGGTCAATACAATGGAAGTCAGTGGGGTCCAAAACAACACTGGAAAAAAACACTTTCCAGTTTCAAAAATCTTCTTTCACAGGTTTACAAGTTTGGAATGATATGAGGGTTAATAAATGATAGCAGAATTTAATTTTTTTGGGCAAATTATCCTTTTAAAGTAGAAGACAACAGGTCAAGTTATTATTACACAGGCTGCACTGGATATTAAAATATTTTTGATGAGGCTCAGATTGAAGAAAATTGACAGAAGAGACAGTTCTGCACACAGACACAACACGCACAACTAAGAAAAAAAAAATGTGAAGCATACAAGATGTATGGAATGTGAAACCTTCTATATGTAAAACAGAAAAAATGGTTGACTTCATTTTCTTTGTAGCTGTTTTTTGCATTTTCATTTCTTTTGTTTGAGTAAATTGATTGTGAAATGCCCACATCTGCTGTCAGATACATTTACATAGATATAGAAATGCAAATATGACAATTATTATGGCTCAAGAGGTTTTCAGCTTGGATCAGTGAAATGCATGTAGGCTTCCATCATGGTACACAGCTAAGACCCGGGTTAAAAGACAAACCAAGGCAAATATGTGCCTGACATTTGCACTGAAACCTGAAACTGGCATCATGACAGGCATGGAGTGAATTTTGTATGTGAATGTTTATAGTCTTCAGTTGTCAGATTGTCTTTTTGTTTATTAGAGT